ACTTTCCACTACCTTTACTTTCAATTTGATCCACTCCTGTTGCTATAGTTCAATTGCTGCTTTTATGTATGTGTATTTTATTGGATGTGCATTTTATCTTGGTTTTAATTTTTAATCATGTGTTTTTGTTTGGTTTTTATGGTTTTGAAGATGTGTTTTTATTATGCGTGTTTTTAATCTGTTAGCCCCCTTGGTGGCCCTGATGAGGGCAGAAAGGCAGGGTATAAATTTTGTAAACAAGCAACTAATTAGTTTCTAAAGACTTTGGAGCACCTGTATTGGTCTAACATATTCCATAGTGAAGACAATATGTCTAATTTCTCTACCATCTTCCTATTTTCCTCTAAAAATCTTTTCAGCACTTCATAGTAACAGTTTAATTATCTCTTTGCAGGGCTTCCCCATTCTGATTGTTCCCCCCCCCCCCAAAGTGGTCTGACTGACAACTGACAGCAAGTCCTGGACACCATACAGGAATGTTAATGGTCACCCTCCTCTGGTCAGCAATAAAACTAGCTGTTCTAAGACATAGTCGTTTATTATATCTAAGCATATTGTTTCTTTGTCATAACCCGAAAACACATTTTCCCAGGCATGTGAAGGACAATGAAGTCATTCATTAGGACATTATTTTACTTTGGTTGCCTCTCTGTTTTGTTTTGTTTCTATCTCAAAAGCACCACCAGAGTTTTGGTCAGCCATTCTGGGGCATGGTATTTCCACTCTCAATGAGAGGCAAACTGCATGTGGTACTCAGTCAGATATATCCTCACCTGTTTTCTTTTTGCTGCAAATGCTTCAGTCTTTAACAGAAGGCCTGTGTGGAAAGCAGAAAGGGACTACTTTTTTCTCTCTCCAAAGGTTTTCCCACTAAAAATGACCCCCTGATCCTGTGACTGTTTTTCCATAAGAATGAAAACATTTGGGTAGCCTGCTGTGCTATAGAAACATAAAAAACTACTATACGGGTCCCCATATAATTTCCCTCACAGTGGGGGGAGGGAGCTGCTAAGGTTATGTAGAGATTGTTGTAACAGAATCGCTATTGGAGAGGGGAGGGTATAAAAGTTCCTCTCCCTCCAAGTGAGTATATAACTGCACACTGCTGCCTTTGCAGCTGCATTTGATAAAAAGAACATATCCAGGGAACATTTCAAACAATTCTAGCTTGCCCTGACTTTGTGGAAGAGTTTGTTCCTGTTAAGTTTTTCTTGTTTGTTGGGCTCTACGCCTTCTTCCACACATAGAGCAGCACCATTCATTCCTCATATTTCCCCCTTATTGCAGCTGATGAACTTCCCTTGTTCTTTCTATAGCTCTTAGATCCACAGATAACAATGACCAACTGGTTCGAACAGTTCTGCCAAGCTTCTGACATGCCGTTTATTTTCTTTCCATATTAAGCAGTCAAACACCCTACTAGCTTGAGTAACTAGTCAGTTACCAGAGATTGCCCCTTGGCATCTCACTGACTTGTCAAGGAGGAGGTGAGGAGGGAGTGGCGTCTCAAAGATCACCGTCAGGTATTAATAGTGAGCAAAGGGGAGCGCACGCTGCTGTAAAGCTGTCCAGCAGCCCACATTGCCAGTGCAGCAGCCGTGCATCGTACATCAGGTAAGAGTTTCCTTTGTAGCATTCCTCTTAGAAGGTAAAATCTCCCTGAGAAAAAACAAATGCTGCTGCGTATAATGAGAATGAGGTAGGGTCGCCAGCCTCCAGGTGGGACCTGGGGATCCCCCGGAATTACAGCTCATCCCCAGACTTCAGAGATTGGTTCTCCTGCAGAAAATGGGTGCTTTGGTGGGTGGGCTCTATGGCACTGTACCCCACTGAGGTCCCTGCCCTCCCCAGGCTCCATCCTTAAATCTCCAGGAGCTTCCCCACCTGGGTCTGGCAACCCTACCCCTCCATTCCTCGCCAGTGGCGGGGGGGGGGCTGGTAATCCTAGAATGAGGAAAGACGTGAGACAGGATTTGCCACCATCAGTATGTTTTCTCCTAAGATGTTTTTAAGTGTACCCATGAAATATGAAGTGTGAATGGGACAAAGCCAGGTCTGTCATCCTGCTACCCTCCTGTTAGAGATTTAGGATTAGGAACAGCTCCCTGCCCAGTGTACATCTGGCAACAAACTTAGGTCTGTTGTTGTGTGGAGAGGAAATGGCAAATCCCTTATGAACCTGCCTAATCGCTTATGAGGCTGCCCTGCTGTTATGGTCATCTTCGAAGGCCCTGCTTCCAGTGCCCCTGCCTTCTGAGGTTAGGTGGGAGTGGGTGGCAACCAGGAGATGGCCTTCCCAGTCATAGCACCAAAATCCTGAAACTTTCTTGCCAGGGAGATTCATCTGCCCCCTTCCGTTGCCGTCTTCCACCAATGGGCGAAAACTTTTTTGGTTTTGCTTGGTATTCCCTCAATGATCCCTCCTTCCTAACCATTGTTTTATGTTTTAATGAGGCATGTTTGGGATGGGGTTTATTTTAATGATTTTATAATAATATGTTTTATTTTGTGCATTTTAAATTAATAGCCTCCTTGGCAGCCCTTGTGAGGGCAGAAAGGCAGGATATACATTTTGTAAATTAATAAATAAAAATCCTTTATATTACTGCCTGTACAAAATGTAAACACATTGTCTCCTATGTCATGAGGGGAGAGAAGTTAATATTACCACCAGCAATTTATTAATTTTATATGTTTTATATAAAATTAAAATAATATAAATTTTTATAATTTTATATGTGTTATGTTTTTTCCAGGAAATTAGTACCAATTTATAGACTGTCCTAGCAAGCATATTGCTCCTTCTCTCCATAATTTCTGGACCTTAGGACATAAGACACAAATTTAGAATGCCGGTGCAGCATTGAAACTAAAAAGCTAACCTTTTTAAAAAGTCTGCTGAAATGTGAGTGAAGTTATATTAGAATTTTAAAAGTCTTGACATTACTGAGTTTTTCAATCATATTCCAATGGCTGCTTTTCTGGGAACATCCCCCCTCCTCAGAAAAAAATCTGTGGGGGAGACCACTCTGGAATAGGGTGTGTGTTTCTGCAAACTTGGAATAATTTCCTGGTTTGCAGAAAAATATTAAAATGTTATATGTAAATCCCCAAGTAACTTACGTTGTCTGTACATGTGTGTATGATGCACTCCCCCCATAAAAGGTCAGCCAAAGAGATGGGAAAATGCATGGGATTGGGGAGAATAGAGGAAAATGTATGACAGGGAGGGGGAGAAATATGCAACTGAGACCATTGGGAAACATACAAAGGGGAGGCTTGGGAAATGGGAAGGAAGGTGTTCAAGGAGAAGGGGATGTGGGACTGGGAGCATTTTGGGGAAGGCAGAGAAGAGGAAGAGGAAGAAGAGGAGGAGGAGGAGGAGGAGATTATTGTATTTATACCCTGCCCTTTACTACCCAAAGGAGTCTCAGAGTGGCTTACAAAGTTTTTCCCCCTCCCCTCCCCTCCCCTCCCCACCCCACAACAGACACCCTGTGAGGTAAGTGAGGCTGAGAGAGCTCTGACAGAAACTTTCAAGGACAGCTCTTATCAGAACTATGGCTTGCCCAAGGTCATCCAGCCAGGTGCAAGCGGAGAAGTGGGGAATCAAACCCGGTTCTCCCAGATTAGAATCCGCGCACTTAACCACTACCCCAAACCAATCTTGACAGTGTATCAGAGCTTTCATGGGTTTTTAATTGCTAATTTGCACGTTAAAGTATCTCAGGTAACACATATCCAGCAAGATCTTTTTCTGCCTGAGATCCTGGAAAGCCACTGCCTGTCACTAAACAATACTGAGCTATATGGACCAATGGTATAAATCAGGTTCATATGCTCAGAAGGTACACACAATAAAACCATATGAGGGTGACTGTGACTTACTCACACAGCCTCCTATGATTTTTGGGGAACCAAGTTTGTTTTAAACTATAAATCTTTCCCTCAGTCACCAGGTGGTCTTAAGGTAGCTAGTGTATAGGAATTGGTTCGCTGCTGTGAGGTAAGTTTTGTGGTGCGCAAGTAGAATACGTAGATCACTGGGGTAGGATTTATATATAAACAGCACAGAAGATTTATTTATTTACAGGTTGCTTTCAAAGAACAGATCATCAGCAGAAGTATCTAGGTAGACAAAGGATAAACCTGGCCAAGGCACATAAATTTAAGCTAGTTACGGCTTCAGAGAGTGGTTTGAATTTTCTTAATGATTTCGGGTTCAAACAGGCTTTTACTGACTAGCCACTAGGTTGGATCCTCTCTCACACACAGGATTCTACCCGCACCAGCCTACCCTTTCCTCAAAAGTCAGACTAAATGGTACAAGTCTTCTTATTAACAGAGACGAGCCAAACAATCAGGTACTCTATTCTCTCACAGGGGTAAACCATTCTGCCACACACTACCATTCCAGAGCACCCTTAGTGACCATGAAGGGGGGATTGTTACTGCTACTCCTGTATGCACAGACAGCACATCTCTAATGTGATTCTCCTGGCCTGTGTCCTCAGATGCCAGGATCTTTTCAGAAACTGCCTGTTGCCAACAATTCAGTTTATTTTAGTGCACTTCAGGTTAGTGTACTTCAGGAGGAGACCTTTGTCTCCTCCTTGATGCCAAGTCTGTCTTCAAATGGCATCCATTTGTCAAGGAAGCATGTGCTTATTATCTCATCCAAAGTCTTGTGGAAAGAAAAAATCTAAGTTCATGAAAGATAGGTGTGAATATGACATTATATTATGCTCCTCAACATTCTCTTATAAGCACCCCTCAACTGAAGTTCAAGATTGGCCCAGAAAGGATCCCCCCCCCCCCCCCCACATTAAAAAAAAGCCACACGGCAGTTGGTGGTAGGGTGGACTTGACTTCAGTTACTTAAATGCTTATTTTCTTAGGATCTTTTTAAAAAATGCATGGTAGACTCCCTAGGAGGCCTGTTTAAAAAGTCTTAAAAGGGCAGTTGATGTTCATGGTCCTCATATCCTTTCCTCTTTTAGTCCTAAAACCAGCCTGTAGATCAAGAATGATCATTGACCAGGAAATGGAGAAAAATGAGCTTCAGTTGTACCCTCGGGAGGAGCACAGCGTGCTGAGTGAGGCTGAATTAGAAAAGCTGGGCCTGAGAAACCAGGCGCCATCGCCCTCCATCTGTACCAGGATTCAGAAGATAAGGTCTGGTGTGTCTACAATTCAATATAATAGCTGGTTTGAGGAGGCTGGAAAATCCTTTGAAGGTCTAACTGCCTTCAGTTCTTGTGAGCAGCAAAAAGAGAGAGAGAGGGTGGTGAATGGAATGATGATCTGGTGGGGGTGTGTCTGATGGCCTGAGGCTTGGACAGACTGGAATGTTGGCGAAATATTTCCACGCCCACTCCTCTAAAGCTTCTGGGCATGTATTTGCTGGCATGTTTTTTTCAGCTATTTTTTTACCTCACTCGTCAGCCGAAAACTGATTTTCAAAAAAGGTTCATAGCAAAAATCATTTTTTTAAAAATTAAAATTCCTTGGATGATGTAGGCTTGCCAACCTCCAGGTGGGGTCTGGAGATATGAAATTACAGCTGATCACAAGATGACAGGGATTCGTTCCCCTGGAAATTTGAACCTAAGCTTTCCAGTAGGGTTGCCAACCTCCAGGTGGGGGCTGGAATCCTCCCAGAAATAGAATTTCCAAACTACAGTGATTGGTTCTCCTGGAGAAAATGGTCCCTTTGGGAGATGGGTCCTATGGCATCCAGAGGTCATTTCGGGGGGGAACGTGGGGCAACGCAGTTCCCCCGGGTGAGGTGCAGGGGGGCGGGGCACATGACGAAGCCCCGCCCCCTGCTTCTGGCCGCCCCGCTTCCGGCCCTCATTCAGCCAGGAGGAGGCAGGAGAAGAGGGAGGGTAAGTTGCTTCCTCCCCGCCTCTCCCCACCCCTGCCTGCCTGGGGCCAGGGAGGGCCTTGGCGGGGCTTCCTCGCACTCCCACTGGCCTTGCAGGTCCACCACCGGGCCCCTGATGTCAGGGGGTGTGGCATATGCTAATGAGTTATGCTAATGAGTTCCCCTAGCTCTTTTTCTACAAAATGACCCCTGATGGCATCACATCACTGTTGAACTCTCTACACTCCCCAAACTCTTCCACCCACCCCAGCTCCATCCCCAAACCTCCAGGAATTTTCCCAACTTGGAGTTGGGAACCCTGTCTCCCAGCTACTCCAGGATAATAGCTTCTATAGCTCACCGAGTTTCTATGTCTAGGATAGGATTTTCACAGGATCCCAAGTAGTATTTCTAATGTCAGAGCCAGTTCTCCATTCTTCCATAGTCCTGCATCTTCAGAAATCAATGCAATTAGAAAACTTATCTCCCTCCTGTACGTGCCTTTCCTCATCTCTTTTCCAGGTGCTCGGGTTCAACTGCAAAGTCCTTGCTGTATCAGCTGCTCCCCATCCTGACTTGGTTACCACGATACCCAGTCAAGGAATGGCTATTGAAGGACATAATCTCAGGATTCAGCGTGGGAATCATGCATCTTCCCCAGGGTAAGCTATCTGGAATCCTACTCATAGCTCTCTCAAGGATAACATCAGCCTCTTCCCCAAATTCTCATACTCATTCATTCATTCATTCATTCAGTTGGATATTTCAACCACGCTCCCATAGCAAGCCAGGTTCGGAGTGGTGTACAATATAGTTATTAAAACATCAGTTAAAAACAGGTTAAAAGCTAGTAACAGTAGCTGAAGATGGTGCAAGAGAAGCCAGTAGAACCACTATCTCACAGGAGGAGGTAGGAGTGCCAGGATGGAACCGTCGCTGTCCTCAACCGAACATCTGGCAGAACATCTCTGCCTTACAGGCCCTGTGAAACTGTAACAAGTCCCACAGGGCACAGATATTATTTGGCAGAGAGTTCCACCAGGTTGGAGCCAGGGCAGAAAAGGCCCTGGCTCTGGTCAAGGACTGCCGTATGTCTCTCGGGCCGGGGACCACCAATCGATTTTGATCTGTGGAGCGCAATGCTCTTCTGGGGGTATACTAGGAGAGGTGGTCCCAAAGGTATGTAGGTCCCTGACCATTTAGGGCCTTGAAGGTCAATACCAGAACCTTGAACCTGATCTAGTACTCCACTGGAAGCCAGTGCAGCTCACAGAGTGCAGGATAGATGTTGCCAGGTCCCTACCTTCTGCTGGCAGGGGACCAAGCATCCTGTGTGGGATTTTCTGGTGTGCGCTAAGCACGTCGCCACGTGGATGCTCTAGCATTCAGCCAGAAACTATGGTATCATAGAGTTTTTAGGCTGAGTGCTGGAGCATCCCCCCCACCAACATGCCCGGCACGATGACGTCACCTCTGGGTGACATCATCATCCTGGGCGTGTTGTCATGATCCCAGCGCTTTGGGGACAGGGCTCCCCCCACCAGCTGGATCTGGGCTAGCAGATCGGAGGCCCCTAAATCAGGCAACCCCCCCCCCACCTGCCCCCAGGGGAAATGGCAGACCTAGGTGCATGGTGTCCCTGTAAGGACCTACGCAACTGCATTCTGTACCAGTTGGAGTTTCTAGGTCAGCCTCAAGGGTAGGCACATGTAGAGTGAGTTATGGTAATCCAGCCTAGAGGTGACCATAGCATGTATTACAGTGGCTAGGTCAGGACAAGACAAGACAGGACTAGTTGCCTGACCTGGCACAATTGAAAAAAATGCCAGTCTGGCAACATTTGGGACCTGGATCACACCCAGGCGCTTAACGGTAGGTGCTTGTCTCAAGGGCATACCATCAGAGCTGGGAGCTGACACCCTGCACCCTGCACCGTAGTCCTCCTGGCCCAGCCACAGAACCTCCATCTTAGAAGGATTCTGTCTCAGCTGGCTCTGTTTTAGCCATCTCCCCAACACAGCCTCCAGCCCCTCTGTCAGATTTACTGGGGCGGCCTCTGGTCAGCCACCCATCAACAGATAAAGCTGGGTGTCATCAGCACAGTTTGGTGTAGTGGTTAGGAGCCAGTATGGCATAGTGGTTAGGAGCACAGACTATAATCTGAGAGAACTGGGTTTGATTCCCCACTCCTTCACATGCAGCTGCTGGTGTGACCTTGGGTCAGTCATAAGTTCTTTCAGAGCTGTTCTCTCAGCCCCACCTACCTCACAGGGTGTCTGTTGTGGGGAGGGGAAGGGATTGTAAGCCACTCTGAGACTTCTTCAGGTAGTGAAGGGCAGGGTATAAATCCAGTCTCTTCTTCTACTGGTGACACCCCAGCCCAAACCTCTGCACTAGATGGGCGAGTCAGTGCATATAGATGTTATATAACAGTGGGGAGAGGATTGCCTCTTGAGGGACCTTGCATAGTAAGGGGTACCTGGGTGAATCTCTCTCTCCCAGTGCCACCCTCTGTCCCCGACCTTGGAGAAGTGAGGTAAGCCACTTCAAGACTACCCCACAGACTCCTACATCAGCAAGGCAGTGGGTCAAAAGATCATGGTCAACCATTTTTTAGAAGTAGAGGTGATTTGCCATTGCCTTCCTCTGCAGAGTCTTCCTTGGGGGGGGGGGGTCTCCCATCCAAGTACTGACCCCGTTTAGCTTGTGAGATCTGACGAGATCAGGCTGTACCCTGCTGCCTTCCCTACCCGATGTCATTTATACTTAATCACAATTTTTAGCCTGTGTCATATCATGGCTCGTAGTGCATTCACACCACTGAAGAAGACAAAATCAGAAACATGTTTGTATAGCTCTGGATTAACTTATTATGTGATAAGCACGTTAGTTGGTGAGCCAGTTAAGTGAGAAATACTCGTTATATTGCTAGATACATTTGTTGCATCGATTGGTTTATTGGCTATTCAGCAATGGAGAAACTATTTTGATGCTGTGTAGTGTTGCTTACTGTAGAATATATTTCATTGCTATGATTAAAGTGTACTTTGTGTTGGTTTCTCTATTGAAATAACTTTTGATCTTGCTCACTAAACCTGGTCTGTTTCTTTGGGTTGGATTTTGTTGCCCCCCCTCCCCTTCTTGGGCCACTGTGTGAGATAGGATGCTGGACTAGATGGGCCACTAGTCTGATCCAGCCGGGCTCTTCTGAAGTCCTTAAGATACAAAGAAAAAATGTGTTTAGAGTCTGGCTGTCTAGTCTGGCAATGATTCACTCGTCCTTTCCCATGTACTTTCAGGCCCCTTCATTACAAGAGTTCTGGTAGCGGGCATGAGAAGCTTCCACTGAGCCATTAATAATTGATCTGATCAGCAACCTGTGACATTCCTCTCCCCAGTATTAGGCATCCTGGTGTTTGTTTTCTGTGCCCTTGGCAACAGCATCTGGTTTTCAGGAGTCCAGTCACATTGTGTGGAACTTCGCTTAGCCATCAAGAGGTTCCATCTTTTAAAGTCATTTTTTTGTGGTGGGCTGCTATGGCCTGCAGGCTGTTGATGGATATCGTTTTAGGGAGCACAATCCTGAGCAGCCTTACACCCTTCTAAATCCATTTAAGTCAATGGGCTTATAAAGGTGTAACCAAGGGTCATTTCCTGCAGGAGCGCACAGGAGCAGAGCTCCGGCAGTAAAGAGCCCAGGGGGTGGGCACATGCAACAAGCCCCACCCCCTGTTCCCAGCAGCCCTCGGTCAGAGCAAGAAGCAGCCAGGTAAGTTGCAGAGCCCCCCCCCCGGGGGCCCAGTCCAAAACAGTCCAGTGACACCTTTAAGACCCAAGTTTTATTCAGGTGCAAGCTCTCCCTCCTCCTCTGTGAGGACAGATCTCCATGTCCCCCCCCCCCAATAGCTAGCAATCCAAAACAGTCCAGTGGAGCCTGAGTGGTGGGTGTTGCCTTCTGACACACTTCCGGTGAGGTCAGGGGGTGTGGCATATGCAAATAAGTTATGCTAATGAGTTATGCTAAGGAGCTCCCACACCTCTTTTTCTACAAAATGACCCCTGGGTGTAACTCTACTTAGGATAGCACTGTTTATGTTCCCTAGGCTTCTTTTAATATTGATGATTTTATGGCTGTTGCGTCTATGAATTTTTTTTCTCTTTTGCTGTCTCAAGGAAGTCTACATAAATAGACAAATAATTGTTAACATCTACCTTTATTTTGCCTAGGTTTGGCCTATGCGCTTCTAGCGGGGCTGCCTCCTGTCACTGGCTTGTATTCATCCTTCTATCCTGTCCTGCTGTATTTCTTCTTTGGGACGTCTAGACACATCTCTGTGGGTGAGCAGGGGATGGGGGAAAGAAGGGGCCTGGACGGATTGTGTATCCTTGTACTACTTAGGAGATTCACTGCACTAGAGACCACAATCTCGTTTTAACATGGCTTAGTAATCTCTTAACAAGCTTCATGGTGCTTATCTGCCCTTCTCATTTAGTATGAGAGGCCTAGTCCATTTGCCCCAGTTATGTTTAAAGACAGGATTATCCTGGGATCTTCTGTCTCAGGCCCCCCCCCAAAAAAAATGGATGACAGCTTGATCCTTTACCATGAAATACAATCTTTTCAGCCCATGGCAGTGCTCCCGATAGGTATGGATAAGCAAAGCCAGCTGCTCAGTATGGCAAATAAAACTGCTTCCTATGGAGATACCAGGTGAGCCATGTACTCGGTCTCCCCACTCAAGCGTCTGTCTCCTTCCCGCAGGGCCGTTTGCAGTCATCTCTGTGATGATTGGGAGTGTGACAGATTCGTTGGAACCAAGCAGCAAGTATCTGGAAATTATCAATGGTACAAATAAAACAACAATCATCAATTATGCCCTAAGGGATGCTGCCAGGGTGGAGCTGGTGGCTGCACTCACCTTCTTGGTGGGCACGTTTCAGGTGAGGACCAAAGTGCAATATGCTTTTCAGAAGACTAGAATCAGCTTCAAAATATGCTTCTGAAATATTATGGAATGCCCTATTGTTTCAAAGACCGTGCCATTTCCACACAGCAGAACTGAATAACTGATAGGGACTGCAGGGACTTCAGTATTATGAGGCACTGTCAGAAACAGAGAATGCTTCAGGCAGTCCTTTGCATTACAGTGAAAGGCTTCTCTGCTCCAGATGTTGTGCAGACTCTGTCATATCGGCCCCACTGGTGATCACAATGGGCGGCAGTGTGTACATGCTGTAGCTCAGTCTATTTGTTTACTTAATGACTTCCTTTGTACTCCACCTTTCTCTCCAGTGGCAGCCCAAAGCAGCTTAAATTGCTCTTCTCTCCTCCACGTTTTTAATAGTATATTTTTATTTTTAAAACAAAATAGTAACATAAAATGGGAGCAGAAGGAAAAAAAGGGATTATATAGGGGTTATGGAACAATTAATATTTATCAAAGGTTATTATACGTAGAAGATATAAACAAAATAGATACTTCTCCCCAACATCACCTTCATTAGAATTTTAAGACATTTTTCTACAATAATGTCATCATTAATACATATTCTGTGTCACATATTTTGTCAATGCTACATACTAGCTATAACTTTTAATATACCAACATTTGAAGGAAAATCTATTATCTGTCTTGCTATAAAAAATATTCATATTCAAAACTTCTTCTCCTTCTTTTTCTGCACTATACTACATTCGTATGCCTTACAATACATTTATAGACCATTTTTAAGCTGTTTCTCATTCTAAGTTTATCTCCTGCTTGCATAATAGACACTCCATCTCTCCTCAAATTTCAAACTTCTCTCCTCCACTTTTGTCTTTCCAACAGCCCTCTGAGGCAGGTTAAGCTGAGAGTGTGTGACTGGCCCACGGTCACCCAGCAATTATGATCTGAAACACAGAAGATCAATATGCAAGTGAGGTGTGAAGCACATTGTGAGGGCTGCATGTATGCCAGACATGATAAACTGATGCCTGTAAATTATCAGTGACGAGCAAGCCTAGATCCTGTTCATGAGTTCATCCTGGGAAAGATTACAAGGCTCACCAGTTCAGATTCCAGAAGTATGAATTCATTTTTCCACACGTATGAATTCAAGGAATCACATACAAAGGCCGTATGACCGAATATAAGAAGCTGATATTGAGTTTGAACATTAGTTCCTCTTGCCCAGCACTAGCTGCTCCAACTGGCAGCAGCTTTCTAACTTTTCATGTTAAGGTCATTCTTTGCTACCTGAGAGCCTGTTAAGTGAAAGTAATAGTGATTGCATCCATGTCCATTCTCTGTCTTAGGGCCCATTCATACAGGCTCTTTAAATCCACTTTGGCTCCTGTAGGCAAACATGTTTTTTTAAAGGTTTTACACACCTAAAAAGGATAAAATACAAACACACACACACAAAAGGATCAGAACAGTTTTGGAAAACCTGGATTAACGCTTTGTTAACTGCAGGAGAACAGTGTTTTATCCTTAAGACATGTGAAACCTTTATTTTCCTTCAGAAACCAAAGTGGTTTAAAGTGGCCACATGAAAGAGACCTTGGTCTCTGGCAAGTCATATTATCCCTCAAGGCACTATATACTCGTAGTATATTTTGAGATCCACCATATCCCAAAGATCTGATGGGGACATCCATTAAATGAATCTTTGGTCTTATTCTGCTGTTCTCCCTGCTGGCTTTTCCACCACTATTTATTTAGATTTCGGGGGGGGGGGGTTGTTTGATAAAATATTACAAAAAAATGAGTTCTGTGTTGTGTTGGCTTTTTTAAAAGGTTGCCCTTGGCCTGCTGCAGTTTGGCTTTGTGGCCATCTACCTATCTGAACCCTTGGTACGAGGCTACACCACTGCTGCTTCTGTCCAGGTGCTGATCTCCCAGCTGAAGTACATATTTGGGTTTGACGTGGAAGAATATTCGGGTCCATTGTCACTGATCTATGTAAGTACCTGTAGTCGGTTAGGCTAGATGTAGAGAAGAGGTGGTATGTGAGCCTGTAATCCTTTCAGTGTTCATCTTCCTCCCTTCCTTCCTTAAACATTGCAGAGAGGTGTTTTTAGATATGCACAAGCTTTGATACGTTGTGGGCGGGGGGACCTGTGTGTATTCAGCTGAAGGAGAGAACACCAACATACAACAAATACCGTGCACAGATGCTTTTCAATGCTTTTCAATTTGGAGGAGGCTTGTAGCTCATCAAAAAAAATTTTTTGTAGCGTTCATTGAAAGAGAATTTTGGATTAAAACTTTGGTATTTGGCAACCTTGTGCTGAAAATTATTGTTGAACTCCCTGAGGAAGATTCTGAAACAGAAGGATATCTGGACTTCTGTTGGAGGAAGACAGAGCACATGTTATAAAGAGAATTTAAGGAGTCCTCCCTTTTGAAACTTTTATTTACAGAGAAGGACTATTATTAATTATAAGGTTGTACAATATCTTTTGAGATTCTATGGAGATGATATTCGATATTCTTATACTATGAATTATGAATGATTAATTATGAATGAAGAAATTATTGTAATAATATTTTTCAAAAATATAACATTATTTATGATATGTTATATTCATCTGTGCATGGTATTTGTTGTATGTTGGTTTTCCTACTTTCCGTGGGTCCTTGTTTGGTTTTGTGAAGGAGAGAACACAGCTTATACTCATACAGGTCCATCAGTACACAATCAGAGCCCAGAAAAAACAGGGATCCTAAATGTGTGGGGTGAGAACTATGTGCATACGATTGCTATTTGAAGTGCTTAAGTCAGAGATGATGCTTGTAACCAGACTCCTCTCCCAGGCCTGATATTCATGTATGTGTAAACAAGCCCATAGTACATTTCACAGAGATCACAAAGAGAGAGTAGGGGCCCTCAAACCAAATTTGCTTGTTTTTAGCAGGGAATATTTTGACATTAGAAAGTAAGAACCTGAGTAGAGGGCTGCTACTGAGTTCTGGAGAGAGAACTGCTGGCAAGGTAGCCATTTGGTTGGTCTCAGAGTTGTCAGGGTACATCACCATAACAAGAGTGTACGTCGGACTTTGAGGGAAGTTCCTGAGGCTGTAGAAGATAGATTTGCTCCTAGGGAGATGGATAACGAAGGATCTATTCCAGTGACATGCCAGGGTTGCACCATGATCATTTTTCTGCCTTGTCAGGAAATGCATTACACATGCTGCAAGTGCAAGCTTATAAGAATGCTTGAGGAGAAGGTGGGAGAACTCAAGGCACAAATCTGTACACTGAGGAACATCAGGGAGGGAGAAAGGTTTTTAGGCGTGACGGAAGAGGGGCTCCTGAGAGAACAGCAAGAGCTAGCAAATCCTGAGCAAGAGGAAGGAAGTAACAAGGCACAGGTGGGTGAGTGGAAGAATGTGACCTTGAGGAGTAAGATAATCAGGAAACACTCACAGCCAGTGGAGCTGCAAAATCGCTACCAGCTGCTTCTGATGGTGGAAGATCAGAATAGCTCACTCTGAGATCAAAAGGATGTGACTGACACACAACACACATAGGCAGAGAAGGAACCAAGCTATCCCACAGAGGAAGAGATGAGTAGTGGTGATTGGTGACTCCATACTGAGAGGGACGGAAGAAGTTCTGTGCAGACCAGACAAGGAATCTCGAGAGGTTTGTTGTCATCCTGGAGCGTGTATCTGAGATGTGTCTGAGAGAATTCCAAAACTGGTCAAAACTTCTGATCGCTACCCACTCCTGCAGATCCATGTGGGAACAAACGATACGTCCTGAAGAAACCTTGAATGGATCTCCAAAGACTACGAGGCTCTGAGCAAGAAGTTGAAAGATCTGGGGGCACAGGTGGTGTTCTCCATTTTACCTGTTGAGGGTCATGGAGCTGGAAGGGAGAACAGGATACTGGAGGTGAATGGCTGGTTACGTAGATGGTGTCGTTGAGAGGGATTTGGCTTCCTGGGCCATGGTATGTACCTCCAACATGAAGGACTATTGGCAATGGATGTGGGTGCATCTTACAAAGAATGGGAGGAATGTCTTTGCTGGAAGACTTGCGAACCTGATCAGGAGGACTTTAAACTGAAGCCATCAGGGGTGGGAAGAAAAAGCCTGATGTTGTGCGGCATCCCCAACACTAAGTTCAAGAAAGGGAATGACCAGAGAATAAATGAAAGGGACTTGGTGGGATGAGTCTCATATATGAAGCACAGTGATTGAAGGATATACCTTGTTCAAACGGAACAGAATAAACAAAAAAAGAGGTGGGGTGGCACTATATGTCAAGAATGAATACACTTGCACTGAAACTCAGGATTTCAAGAGTTGCCCTGTTGAAAGTGTGTGGGTAAGGATAGAGCAAGGGGAAAAAGAAGGGGATATTGTTGTGGGGGTATACTACAGACCTCCGAACCAACCAGAGAAACTGGATGATGCATTTGTACAACAGC